TAAACCGGTTTATACACCCTGTAACCTCCCTGTAACCTACCTATATATGAAAACAGAAGCGCGGAACTTACTCGAAGGTACAGATAGGTTACAGGGAGGTTACAGGGGGTATAACGCGGTTATAACCTCCTAAAATCCTCCCTGTAACCTGTTTGCAGGTTACAGACGTACGCAGCTCTGCGTACGTCTTATGTACGCAAATTTTTTCCGTAAGAGTGACCATGGAATGTCCACTGATTGGAGTATTTTGCTACCAACTTAAAGAGAGAAGGAAATGCTCATTTTCATGCCAAAAAAGGAAAAAAAAGAACAATGTATTATATTAATTTGAGTCATTGATCCAAATGGTTTCTAGATTTTTTAGGATTGCTCATTTTAGTTCCAAATGTTTTTTACCCGTTTTTAACTCAACAATTTGGAACCAATTAGATCATCAAAAATTACTATTTGTTTGGTCAAAAATAGGTTGATTGATTGAAGTTTCTTACGAGCATAGTTTGGATTATTGATGTTCAATATTTTAACTTAACATCTGCTCAAACTAATAAGATTGTCCCTTAAAAAGGCCAAAGTACCCTAATGCAAAGCTTCCCTCCATCAAGTTTCATCCAAAGAAACAACAAAATTAATGAGAGGATTAAATTGGTTTAAATTTTATTAGTTTCGGAACTTAATTGAATACTAAGAAAAGTTTAAGGCTAAATTTGATTGAATTAAAAAGTCTTTGGACTATTTTGGTTCTTTACCTTTTTATTAAACCTGGGAATCAAATTATTGACACTTACATTGAAATTATTGGAGATCTTTGTGATGCGGGGCCTCCCGTGTGGATGCGGAACGCGAAGCTTCCCGCATTGTCACGGGAAGCGGAAAATCCTGCTACTGAATCGAATCGGTCCAATTGAAGGTTGGTCCAGGGTAAACCCATGTCGAGTGGCATGGCGCGGGATTTTGACAGGGCGGGACTTCTGCCCGCCCCTCTCCTTCCTTTTCTGCTTCTCCTTCATATAGGGGCTATTTATTTGCTGTTTTCAGAGTTTAAGGTTAGTTTTTGCTGTGTGTTGCTTTCATATTCTTATGTGGAATTGTTCTCACTGTTCTAGGGTTGTATCTGAGGAGGCACCGGCTGTATCCTACTCTGATGTGGTGATTTATCTTTCTCAATTCTCCTCCGTCCTCCTCCTCCTTCCCTTCCATTAGTAGTCGGCTATCCTCCTGCCATCCTCGCTGACTTGCCCCTCTTTTTCGCCATTATCTTGTTGGTCAGCCTTTCTGATCCACCTTCTAGCACCCTATTCCCCTCCAACCTGCAGCTGGATAGGGATTTGAACAAAATCTGGCGCTTCTTGTTTATTTCTACTAGGCTTTAGGCTAGACTACCCCAATTGAAACTTTTTATCTTTTTGCCCTTTTGTATGTATCTTCTTGGTCCTACATTTCTTGGTAAATACTCTTAATGTACTCTTATCATTATCTAATTGATCTATTTTAGTTTTTAAAAAAATGTGCATCACAGATTTCACGTTTTCAGCTAATATTGATGGAATGCTTGCTGAATGATATAATAGTGAGCAATGGCTAGGGGATAATGTGCCTGTTTCACTTTAAATTTTCCCAATACTTAGAGATTGGCTGGCCAATGAATTTGGCTTATCTGTTTTAGTTTCTTTAGACAAGCAACACTGCTCATAGTTTGAAGTCAAGATTGTAGTTTAACTGGAATGCATGAATTTTGACTTTTTCCTCTTTTTTTTTCACACCATGTTTGCTCCATATTGTTTGTTACCTTTCTAGAATTTTAGTCGAATCATTTTGAAAGCCAACGCACATATTTTGTTTCCTTGGCTTGTTTCTCCATGTTGTGCTTGTCCACAACTAACCAGAAGAACGCAGAAGCCCATTGGTGTTCTGTTTGCTTTAATAAAAAATTTTCATTCAACAACTATAGTTATATGATTTTCAAATATTATAGAACATAATGTTTTGTTAATTTGTATCTTAAATTTTGCAGGTTGAGGTTATCTATAACTGTAGCATTTTGGCAGCTGTTGGCCAGAAAATGGCAAGCACTCCCGGGGTCAGTGCTACTCTTTTTGATGCACTAGCAAAGGTATTGGTTATCAAATCTATCTCATCACGATCCTAAATTTTTTTTGGCAAACTACTAACCCTTTATTTGCTATATTGAAGCTGCATTATCTGCTGATGTTGTGTTTTATCTGTTATTTAGGCTAACATAAATGTAAGGGCCATTGCCCAAGGTTGCAGTGAATACAATATTACAATTGTACTGAAGCAAGATGATTGTGTCAGGGCTCTAAGGGCTGCACACTCGAGGTTTTACCTTTCTAAAACTATATTAGCTATTGGCCTCATTGGACCGGGCTTGATTGGCAGCACACTTCTTGACCAGCTCAGAGATCAGGTGATCGCAAAGCTCTATTTCTTCTGCTTACTTTGCATATTTTTGTTTTAAGTTTACCTTCTATGAATGTTAGTTTTGGCATAATTCTTTATTGGGTTGAGTTTATCATCTTGTTCTACCAACTTACTTAATGTTCTAAACAAACTGAAGGAAATTCTTACGTATAACTGTGGTATTTCAACATGAATTACTGGTTAACAGTCCTTTTTGAAAATTACATCTTCTGTCTTATCATTAATTTTAAACCATTACCACTATTAGAAATCTATGGTGAGTCTTATTTAGCCTTTTATTTCTTTGATCATGTATTTTTGTTAGCTGGAGAAAAAAAAAAAGTTGGACTGTTTGCCTAGTGTTGGTTAAAGTTGGAGTTTGATCATGGATTAAATTTGGTTAAAATTTTAAGTGCAAATTGTTTTTTGTTGACTGGGTCTTTTTAACCTCACCACATAATCTAAGGCCATCATGGGTTTTAAGATTTCTGGCATGCTTTTAAAATTGATTATGTGCAAGTTTCCATACTTTCTCTCTTCACTAACAGAAATTTGATAAGCATTTACATTTGAATTCAACATGTTTTCTTTTCTGGCGATTACTGTTCATCATTATCCGCTCAGAATATTGCTTGTCTCGGATATCCTTAAAACTTTTTATTACGGACTCGGGGAAAACTTTTTTGTATTTTATTTTATGTTAGGTCTGTTGATGCTACTATTACCATTAGATAGCTGTTAGTTAAACGGTATCATCGACGAACTAAGACCAAAAGTGGGAAAGGCCCGAGCAAAAGGCAAAGCATCCACCTTCTCCAACTATAATACTTACAACAAAAATGAATGAAATTTTAATAAAACAATGGCATACTTTGGTTTTTGTATTTACATTATAGTCAACTCAAAATGCTGAAGTTATCCAATTAAAAATTTGTCAATATTATATTATGTTTATGTGCTAACGTTCATGAACTATATTTCATCATTGAAAATCCACAACCGAATAAATCATTTATACTGTTGTTAAAAATATGTAATTAAAACATGAGAAAGTACAGTTCATTCAAATGAAATCAAATATGACAATGAACCTCGTAATACTAATATTGTATAATACAAAAATCATGGATCACCCAAAACGGTATCTATAATGTGGGAGATAGACAAAATCATATAGAAATAGTTGTAAAACAGAGATTGCAGGCTTTTTCCTTATTGAGCATTTAGAAGTTGTTTTGTTTATTGTTGTTATGCTTTCTAACTTCCAACTTGAACCTGATAAAAAAACCGTTGACAGGCTGCAGTTCTCAAGGAAAGTTTTAACATAGACTTTCGTGTTATGGGAATTATCGGGTCTAAGACCATGGTGCTGAGCAACTCGTAAGATAGTTTTCTCCACTTTTTACCTTTAGCTGCATAAATCTGTAATGTATGCTTGATATCATTGTTTGTCATAGTCGAAGACCATGGTGTTGAGCAACTCATAAGATAGTTTTCTCGACTTTGTTATCTTAGCTGCATAAATCTGTAATTTTTGCTTGATATCATTGTTTTTGAGAATGACCGCTCACTTTATCTTCACAACTTCATATTATGGTCTTATAATCGCTGCAATTATAGAAGATTTTTGCTAGTGCACATACTTTTAGTTATGGGCTACCTAGTCTTCCTTTATATAATATTAAAAAATCATTAATTATGGTCCGCATCTCCACCAAGAATGAATTCAGCAGCTCAATGAATATTTTTGGTTTTTCTCTTCTGTTATTAGATGTGATTAGTGCATTTATAGCAACATCTAAATGGTATAATTTGTTTACTGATCAGCATCGTTTATTCTTGGTCAGCATATTATATTTTCCTTTTAACATTTTTCACCTCAAGAGTAGCACACATGAACTTTGTTTGACCGAGGCTTGCTTTTTCAGTGGTATAGATTTGACAAAATGGAGAGAACACCAGAAGGAAAAGGCTGACCTAGAAAAGTTTGTACGACATGTGCATGAAAATCATTTTTTTCCAAACACAGTGTTAGTAGATTGCACAGCGGATTCACATGTTGCCAACCATTACTATGATTGGCTGCGAAAGGGAATTCATGTTATTACTCCAAACAAGAAGGCAAACTCAGGACCACTTGGCCGGGTAACTATATAGTCCTAAACCAGCTTGATTATAGCATTTTATATGATTAATGTACTCTTAAATTTTTTTTTTCTTTAAATACTGAATTAAATTGATATTTTCCTGAACTTACTGATGTAAAGTTGCTACTGTCTGGAAGTGATTTTGGAATTATTCTTTTAACAATAATTGAAAAAAAAAATGTTGGCGTATGACATTGATTGTGGGAATGGATTGCAGGATTTACATGTGCGCCTTTGTGCTTTTCTTATGGCTTCTTTTGTCATGTACTCATGTGTGTGATTTGCTCTAGTACGTTGGAATGGGTTTGTTTGGACAGAGTGGTTTTTTGGTTTTATAGCTTTTGAGTGTCGCGCGGGTCTAGCAAAGGTGGGTATTGTTTTAAGAGTGAATTCAGTTACTTTTGGAAGTTTTGTAGTTAAAAGTTAATTGAGATCAAATTAAAATAAAATTAATATTGATTCTTTGCAAACATTATATATTATGCTAGGTTATTAAGTGTTCATAAATAGTAGTCTGAGGCATTTACTTTACAACAATGGATATCAAAAAAGATACTTTCCAGATAGTTTGCCCTATTTTGTGAGAACTTCATGTTCAGGTTCATAATTTTCCATTGGCATTTTGGTTAATCACCCACTTCTAATCAGGTTAATACCTGCTCATAATAGTAGCAACTTGATTTAGGATAGATAATATACCACCATTAGTTTAGAATGGATGGTGGGATTATGATGTTGAATTTGATGAAGATCCCATGGTTTTGTTTTCTTAGATTGTTATCGACCCTGAACTCCTTTGTCAATAGAGTTAATCTGACATAACTAAAAGATGTTTATCAACAACCATGGAATGCATGGTTCAAAGGAGCTTATAGATCTAGTGTGTATATTTGTCTTATGGATCAATTTTAATTTAACCTTAGCTAAGAGAGGATTTCGTGTCTCATCAAATGCACTCTATGATTCATATTTATTCTGGTTTTACTTTTAAACGTAATATAATAAGGCTATTTTGTAGCAAATCCCCCTTGCAGAGGACATATGCTATGTACTTGCCATGAGATTTTTGAGAGAGATCATATGATAAACTTGACATGTGTTAGCTCTTTGTGAGCTTTGGTCAAACTAAAATTTGTCATTGTCATCAATTAATGTGAATGATGCATGTGTTAAGTTAAAGGCTGATTATTATTTGAGCATTTTTTAAAATTTTACAGATTTAATTTTTCTTACCAGGTTCGACCTTAAAATGTGTTGTTTAAAATTTGAGAGTAATTTAATAATAAATCTTCTCCGAATAATGTTTGCTATCAACGCTACTAATATCAGGAAAGGTTGCTTAATGTATTTATCTTTGTGGTTGGAAGCATAATTTTTCCACTATAATAGATGATATATGTGCCTATGTCAGGGGTAACTTGCGTGATCGATTTTTTGCTGCTGTAATATTTGTGGGCTCTACCCAATTGTTTACTGCGGATTGGGTTCAAATAAGTTGAAACTCATGATTAAACCTTTGTTGGCAAAGAAACTTCAAGATTTTTCATTTTATTTTATTTTTTACGAGTGGTCTTGAAGGTTTATTTCAAATATGGGACAAAGCAACTTTAAGCAAGTTTCAGACTGATTGTGATTTCCAGTGCATGATGATGCTTAGATTGCTTTATTAGATTGAGAGCACAAAATTTAAAATCATTATGTTAATTATCATTTTGAAATTTATTGCTTAATTATTTGTCAAGCGTAAGTTTTGTTCTCTCCATTCCTTATGACTTGGAAGATAAAACCTATAAAAGTAGGACCTATGTAATGCTTGGTTATTTCGTAATGCTGTAACACTGGCATTATATTTTGGGTCGTCAAATCGAACAGGAGAGGGCTCTCCACCTTTAAGGAAGAGGTGGAAGGAGTTATAAGAAAGGAGTGCAAGCAGTACAAGTTAAAGGCTCGAATCAGACTAGTGTCCATTAAGGCGAGTTGAAGCATCTAGGGCTGTCAATTTGGCTCGTTGTACTCGGACTGTGAACGTGAGCATACCTAAGCATCGTTCGATGCATACAAAGGCGATGAAGTACCATTTGCGATTTCTGAGCAGGGAAAAGAAGAATTGAGCGCCCTTACACCTGCTTCGAATGATATTGAAACTAACGAGATCGATTTGACTGTAAGCCGAGGCCGAAGACGAAGGCAAGGAGGGGAGCCGATTTCATGTTGGAGCTGAAATCTCAAGCAATGCAGCACTCAAGTGAGATAGAACGAAGGACTCTTGAGCATGAAGGCGAGTGGCGAAACCGGTGGTGTAGGTGTGGGTTTTGGATTTTTCTTTTTGAAACAGATGGAGGTAATTTTTTTCAGTATTTCATTTTTTTTCAATTATTTGGGTTGTATCTTAAATTTTTTCTTAAAAAAATTTAGGCATTTGTATGAAATTTATAAAAATAAAACTAATAATAATTATGAATTGAGAAGGGAGAAGTGGAATGTTAATTGACGTTTTGGAGCAATTTGACAATTTAATTGAGGGTTAGAAAATAAATCTAGAATTAATAAAATTATGATAGTTTAGTGAAAAGACGTTTTAAGAGATATGATTTACATATGTATGTGTCCATTTGGGGCAGCTTATTTGGTGTAATGACGTTTTAAAAACGCACCTAGTCTGTTTGGGTAAATTGCGTTTTGCGTTTTAAAAACGCACCTAGTCGGTTTGGGTAAATTGCGTTTTGACAGTTTATGCATTTTCGAAATACTGAAAACAACGTTTTCACACCGCACCTATCTAGGTGCGGTGACAGCTTTTTGACAGTGTCTAACTTTTCCAAAAAAATAAATATTTGTAATAGCCACCGTACCTAGTTTATCAGTAGATTATTTTTAATCAGTTTATAAACATATTTTTCAATAAGCTGCAATTGCCCCAAACAGACCCTATATTATGGGTTGAATTTTAATTTTCTCTAAATTAATAATTAATAAAAAAATAATTAATATTAAGTAATGATAATCAAATTATAGTATTCAATATTAATTACTAAAAATTAGAAATGTCTGAATTATGGTAAATTAAATTAGGAATATCTCAATTATTTGTAACAATCAATTATGTAAATAAGTAAATAAATTACGAGTAAAAATGTTCTTAAATAGTAAAATTAAATTATAATTTAAGGGAAGTTAACTAGAAAATATTACATTTTGGATGTAGGTTTTTCTATGTGATAGAATATAAAGACGAGAAATCTTCTGAGCTCGAGGTGAGTAATCTTTATTTAAAGCTATGTAGTTGAATCCTGATTTTTTCGTGAATCACACCCGTTTAATGGTGTAACTGAGAGAGAGAGAGAGAGAGAGAGAGAGAGAGAGAGAGAGAGAGGTTTTGAAATGAGATAGTTGGTATTAGGTTTCAACATCCTCTATTACATTTAATGCTCTTCTATTTATAGGCGGTTTGGATTGTTATGAACTGATATCTATACCCCTTTTATTTTCGACTTTAAGACTATACATTTGTGATGTGTACAATTCCTCTTTCCTCATTAGGAATTAGGGCAATATTTGAGATAAATCTTTAATAACTCTTGACTTTTGGTCGGTCAACTCCTAGTTGGTTGACCTCTAATCGGTCAACTCCTTGTTATAGGATGAGGCCGAGTTTTTCTTTTCATTGGTGATTTCTTGTCCATTTCTTTCATTTAAATTGTTGTTGTTTGTGTTATTTGTTTGATTTTATGTCATGTCGGAAATGTGATTATGTGAGAATTAATTCATTTGCTCATTGATCTCACTTCATTCCAAGTTCTTCCGGATTTTTTGAATGTTGATGATCATTTCCGTATCAATTTGGTTCATCATTTAGAAAAATGAGCTTTGAAGTATGCTTGAAGTACAACGGTCTTAAAACGCCTTAAAAGTGAACTTCAAAGCGTTTATAATATGAGGTTTACACACTATGTATGCATCTTGCTTTGAATTAGGATAGCTTAAACTTCAAATTTTTTGAAATTTTGATAAATCTAGTTCAATGTTTCTCAAAATCTTACATTGTTGTGACTAATTGAAATTGGTAGAAGCTTTTAGTTTGTTAAGTATGCAATATCTTATTTTTAATATTTTCTCAATCATATATCATTATAATATATTTATTATTTTTAAGCATATGAAATTAAAATGGTTACGCTTACGTTAAGTAAGACACTTGCACTTTTTAAAACAGTGATTGGGCTCAACTCTACTAATTATTTTTATTTAAAACCAGTGCTTGTTAGATTAATTTGTAACTTTTGATATGTGTGAATCATTGATTTCCTGTTGCACGAACGTATCATACACATCATATTCATTGCATTAGCAAAACTTAATTTTGAATCATCCTCTCTCATCTACAATTGTCATTATAGGAATAGAAAATCTTTTTTTTTTTTGTCATCTATTCAAATGTTTACTCCTAAATAGACAGAGGTAGACCTAGGAAGACTTGGTTTTATTGTATAAAAAATAATCTTAATTTATTAGAACTAAATGAAAATATGACACTAAATAGGACGCAATGGAGAAAAAGGATTCATGTAGCCGGCCCCACGTAGTGGGATTAAGGCTTTGTTGTTGTTGTTGTTGCTGTTGTTGTATTCAAAAGTTTACTCCTAGACTTGATTTGTGTTCCCCAGTTTTCTCTGTATCTTTCTGCCATACCATCCGCTAAAGAACATGTTCTATATACAGTATCTGAAACTGAGGAAACTACAGCGGAAATCCTACACTCACTACTTTTATGAAGCAACTGTTGGTGCTGGTCTTCCAATAATCAGAACTCTACAGGGACTTTTAGAAACTGGTGACAAAATTTTGCAGATTGAGGGCATTTTCAGGTTAGTTGCACTGTTAAACTGCATTTTTATGTAAGCAAGAATTTCTCTTTGTTCATGCACGTATAAAAAAGAACTAGCAGAAATTTTTAACGAGGCAAAGTTTTGTCCCAGTAAGTTCATTTAGGAAAATAAAGAGAACTATTTTATTTTGGGAAATTTACATACATCACACAATTCTTATGTATTTACATATCTAACACCCAAATTTTGATATTTACACTTAGAACACCTTCGTATCATAAACCTGTATATGAAAGCGTGTATTTCACTTTTCAAAAGGCAGTGATGGTGTTACTTGTTGTGGCGATAATAAAATTTGAGTGGTATGCAAATAAATATGAATGTTTAGCTGTTAGAAATGTAAATATATAAGAATTATGTTGTATGTATGCAAATGTCCTATTTATTTATCTCTTATTTCTCGTTTTGTGTGCTTGTAGTGGGACTTTAAGCTACATCTTCAACAACTTTAATGGGGCAAGATCTTTTAGTGATGTGGTGAGTGAAGCCAAGAAGGCTGGATATACAGAACCTGACCCAAGGGATGATCTATCAGGAAGTGATGTTGCCAGAAAGGTCAAATATTTATGTGTATATATATATGGTCTGTTCCTTATTACTTCATATATTGTGAAACTGATCCTGAACATGATTCCATTTTTTTCTTTCCTGCAGGTTATAATCTTAGCTAGAGAATCAGATTTAAAACTTGAGCTTTCTGATATTCCTGTTCAGAACCTTGTACCGGAACAATTAAGGGTCAGATCAAGCATATTTGTTTTATGTTGTTAACATGCAGGCACAAAATCTCTTAACATTTCTTCTGAATTTTGCAGGATTGCTCCTCTGCTGAAGAATTCTTGCAAAAACTGCCGACTTTTGATGATGGCTTTGCAAAGGAACGAAATGATGCGGAGACTGAAGGAGAGGTGTGTGCTCTATTTTAAATAATTGTCATCTCTTATAAAATTGAAAACTCGCTCGGCAT